GTAGCTCTCTTGTCCTCATAAAGAGTCTTCTGCGGTGCAAGCATCACTCGTTTGATGAGATCCATGTTATACCATTTTCATTTTACTTTGTGGATTGTGCTATTGGTGTCCAATCTAAATTCCTCACCTGCCCCTAGATTCTGAAATAGTTCTTGTGTGTTTGTTTACATTTAAGCCCATGATACATTCTGACTTAAATTTTACATAAGGTGTCAGATTTAAGTCAGAATTCTTTTTTTTCTTTTAACTGGCGCACCCACCTGCTACGGCACCATTGTTGGAATAGGCGGCAGTGGGGTGTGTTTGGTGGCCACAAGGCGTTGGCACTCTCTAGCCTGGCCCTGGAACTGGTGTCGGCCTCGGCCAGACTTGTACCTCACCATCTGTACCACGAGGTGGCCACGTGTGCTCTGGTCCTGGTTTGCTGACGTTTTTAGTCATAGACGGGTGTTGAATTTTGTCAAAAGCTCTTTGTGCAGCAACTGATGGATCATACGACTTTTCTTTAGCCTCTGAATTTTCCATGTGATTATTTGGCTTGTCACCTAGAAGTTGTCATGCTGTGATTTTTCATGTAAAAGATGTGTGTGCATGTTGCTCATGTATTCCTGGAGTAAATTTACTAATAATTGTTGAAGACTTTTTTCGATTGAAGTTCATGAGAGATATTAGTCTGTATTTTGTTTCTTTTTTTTTTTCTCTATAATTTCAGAATCAAGTTAATACATTGTGGGAAAGAACTTCTTGTCTTTTGCTTTCTGGAGGGAATTATGTAAAATTAGTAATTAATTCTTGTTTAACTGTTTGATAAAATTATCCAGGGAAGCCACCTGGTACTAGAGATTTCTTTTTGCAGAATTTTTAAATTATAAATTCAATTTCTTTAATGGTTATAGGGCTATTCATGTTATCTATTTCATCTTAGCTAAGTTTTGGTACTTTGTGATTTTCAGGCAATTGGTCCAATTCTTCTGAGTTCTCTAATACATGAGCCTCAAGTGGTTTGGGTAGCATTTTCTTGATATTCTTCTAATACCGCCAGGATCTACTATAATATTCCCTGTTTTGTTTCTGACATTAATATCTTTCCTCTTTTATCTGTTAGTTTTGCTAGAGGTTTGCCCATTCTAGTGCCATTTTTCAAAGGGCCAGCCTTTTGTTGTCCTAATTCTCTTTGTTTTCAGCTTTTACTCCTGCTCTAATCTTTATTATTTCCTGCCTTCAGTGTGCTTGGGGTTTATTTTGCCTTTTCTCTCATTTCTTGAGCTGGAGCAGAGCTCGCTGACCTGAGTTCTCCCTGGCTTCAGACATGAGCGCCCAGCGCCATCCCTCTCTGCCCCACCCCAGATGGGCCCATCAGGACTTGGTGCGGTTCCATTTCTCTCAGTTCTGTTTATGTTTTGAGGCTCCCTCCTTTTATAAGCGTGCTGTTTAATTTCCACCTTTCATGATTTTCCTGTTGTCTTTCTCTCCTTAAGCTCTGCCCCCATGTCCTCTCAGGTTCCCTACCCTTTTGTTTTTTTGACCTTTGCTTTACTTTCAGCCACCACAAGAATCTGTGTTTGGACTCTGGCAACAGCCACTCCTCTAGAAGCCACAGGGACATGAGCACGAGGTCACAGCACCAGCATGTCATTAAACATTCAGATGGCACTCAGTGTCTTAGGAGACTAGGCTTTATACTCTGAGTGCTTAATCATTTTATTTTATTATTTGTTGTTACTTTGAATCAGGACTTGGGATTTCCTACCTTGACTTGGGATTTCCTACCTTGACATGGATTTGATCTGTTTTCCTTTACTGTTTCCTTATTTCCGGAATGTTCAGTGCCCTTAGGAAAAGGCAGTTTTACACATACGAGGAGTTGTTCTCACTTGGTGCCTCGTCTGCCGGCCACCCCCTGAAGTTGGGGTCACATGAGGGGAAACCTGCTCAAGGGAAAGGACGTCTGTCTCTCCTCCTCAGGCCTTCTTAGCTGGAATGGCTCCCCGCTTAGGGCATTGCTGCTGATGGAGCATCACAAGTGCTACTTCACACCATCCTGCTGGTTGGGACCCTGAGAAGCTGGAGGGGAACTAGACTGCAGTAATAAACCCCCTTGGAGCCAGCACCCTGTGAGCCCAGCAACTGTCTCCAGTAGTGCTTTCTGACTGACTGCAGAGGCAGACTGGGTGAGGCCCACCTGATGCAGAAACCAGTGCTGTTCCCATATATGATGCCTGGTGCCTCACATGTCCATGCTCCCCCCGCTGCTACTACATGGACACAACTGTGGTGGCCAACCTTTGTTGTCAGCTGCTCTGCTGTCTCAGGGGAGGAAGCTGAGGTGACGCTGGGCTGGGGTCTGTGGCCAACAGGTCTTCATTATGGCTGCAAGTCTCGCTTCCTACAGGGTGCCTGCAGGCCACACTGCTGCCTGTTGCTCCCAGATGTCGGAGGGGAGCAGAGACAGCACAGGCAGCCCCATAAATATTTCCAGCCACAGCCAACATGTCTTACTGGGCAATTTGCTTTTTAAAAAATTGTGGTCTAATTTTAAGTGAACAGCCCCTAATTAGAGTGATTTACAAGGTACCTGGGGACTGGGTGGCATTTGAACATGGCAGAGCGTTGAGCAGAGATGGATGGTACAGCATAATCCAGTGGTGCGTTCTGATAACACAGTTGCTGCGCTGAGTCTGCGCAGAGAAGCCTGTTGACACACACACCCCAGCAGACAACGGGAAGTGTGGCCAGGAGGAGGGACTAGGACTCTGGGGAGGGACGGCAGGGCCCCTACAGGGTGGCAGCTGGGCCATAGAGGCTGCAGTTTGCAGACACTTGGGCTCTAGATTTGGGTGAGACAGTTTCCCTGGTGACCTCACACACACACTGCTCCCGCCCAGCCCCGCCCAGCCCCAGAACACCAGGGCATCGAGCTCCAAGTAGGTGCCTTATGAGTGCTGACCAGTGGGCTGAGGGAGCCAGAGATGGGCTGGAGTTCATGCAGAGCAAGACTGAATAGCATCAACAATGGTTAGGGCCCCACGGCCTTCAGGCAGGGAACCCTGTCTTTAAGACGGAACTGGCTGAAGACCACTCCTAGGTGAGCAGAGGAGACCTGGCCAGAAGATCTGGGCTCCGTGCAATCTGGAGGAGGACGGGGCTCAGGGCTGCCCAGACCCGCTGAGCCAAGAGAACAAATCTCAGATCTGCTGTGCTGCCGCCCCAGCCTGTGTTGGACCCTGCCATCTACTTCCCCCTCCCCACAGCTGTAGAAGAATCAGCCCCTCTGACATTTAAGGGGGGGAGAATCAGAATCAAGAGCAAAGGCAGAAATGAAAGAATTTTCTTGGTAAAAGGTCAGAATGGTTTCTCTTATTTTTGTTTAAAAACGGTTTGTCTTGAACTATGACAAGGCTAAATGTATTAACAGGCAGGGGAACAGGCTGCCCAGAGGCAGGGCTGGCCCAGTGAGGCAGCAAACAAGGTCCGTGGCAGCCCAGACGCTGGGTTAGATGCCTGAGCGCCAGGCTCCAAAGGCCACTGGGCGGGTCCGGGTCTGGGGTCAGGAGTCGGGCAGGCGGGCATGGAGCTGTGTTCCTGGATTCTGAGAGGAGCCCGAGAGGCGCATGGGACCTGGCCGTGTAGGGCACTCTCTCCATGCGGTGGGTGCTGTGTGGGGGCTGCTGCCAGGCGGGGGGGTGGGGGGGTTTGTACCTGTCAGGCCAGGCCAAAGCCCACTCCCGTACAAGGTGAGTCATGCACCAGGTGGAGTGAACTGCCAGTCCTGTACTGGGGGACAGCAGCACCCTGCAGCTCTTGAGGGAGCGGTAGCCCCCACCAGCCTGCTGGACAGAAGAGAGCTTTTTATTAGCAGTTTTACTGATATAACTCACATGCCACGCAGCCACCCACTACATGGCCGTGGTGCCGTTCAGCTCTTCCTCATGCTGTCAGAGCCGTGCAGCCACCTAACTTCACTTTCATCACCCCAGAGAGGCCCCTACCCCTTAGCAGTCACTCCAGACATCCTCCCGAACCCCTAGCCCCTGACGACCATGCACCTGCTTTCTCTCTACATAAACTCGTCTGTCCTTCTGGACACTTCCTATGTGAGGAATCACACAGTTGCCGTGTTTTCTGTACCACTTGGCATGTTTTGGGGATTCACCCATGTGGTAGCTTTGTCTGAACTTCCTTTTTCCATTGGAGGGGCACATTCTGCAATACTGTCATCCAGCAGTGACTGTTTCCTTCGGGACTGTGGATGTGGCTGCCGTGGGCATCCACATAGGGCTCTCGTGTGGACAGGCATTTCGCTTCTCCAGGACACATGCTAGAAGTGGAACTGCTGGGTCATGTGTTCAGCATTTTGAGGCGTCACCAGACTTGCCCCCCATGCTGCACATTTTACACCCCGCCAGCCTGCACCAGTCTCCCTTGCCACATCCTCACTGATCCTTCCTGGCTGTGACCATGTCTGCAGCTGGGAGATGGCATCTCAGCAAGGGCCTGAGTCGTGTCAAGCATCTTTCCATGTGCACCAGGGCCATCAGAATACCTTCCCTAGAGAAATGGCCACTCACCCATGTCCTTTACCCACTTTGTGATTGAGTTGTTTGCTCTTCCTTATGCTGTTATCAAGCTGTGGGTGTGTTCTGACCATGGCCTTCATTGGCTTGCAAGGAGGAGAATCCACCAGGTCCCATCTTCCAGGATTCCAAAACATGGAGAACTGGCCATTCCACCCACTGGAACTGGCCTTGCCACACACAGGAGACCCAAGAAATGGCATCACCTGCTAGGAGGTGCCTGCAGGTGCCCAGCCTTTCTGAGGGACAGGGATAGCCTCATCCCTCTCTGACTGGGACAGCAGAGCCCAGGCCCTGACCAGGGCAGCCCTCCTGGGCTCCTAGGTGTCTTGCTCTGGGCAGGGTGGGGGGAATAGGGTGTGGGGGTAGCAATCACCCAGAGACGCCCCACTAAACTCACACGCTCTCCCATGTCTCTCGCTGCAGGCCACAGGACCCTCCGGCGCCAAGATGCAGCTGCTGGAGACAGAGTTCTCACGTACTGTGCAGGAGCTCATCGAGCTGCACCTGTTGCACCAGGACAGCATCCCTGCCTTCCTCAGTGCTCTCACCCTTGACCTCTTCAGCCGCCAGACTGTGACCTAGCCTGAACCACGGACCTGACCAGCAGCCCTCGGCCTCTGCAGGTGGGAGCAGGCCCTGGCAGCAGGTTGTGGAGTTTGTCCCCACAGGTCCCAGCCATACCTGCACCTCCCACCCTGCCCACTAGCAGCACGCCCAGCCTCTCTGCCCACATGCTGCCCACTGCCTGGATGGGGCAGTGCCTTTATGTGATTGGGACCCTTGAGCTCCAGAGACCCCTCAACTTCCCGGGCAGCAGCATCCCATGCACAGAACCCCTGTGGGCACTCCTCCAGTCAGCAGGGGTTAAGCTGCTCGGGACATCCTGCCACAATGTGCCCCTACCCCTGGGCTCCTGTGTTCACTCCTGCCCTGCCAGCAAAGGGCCTCCAGCTCCTCACCCTTCATCCTGGAAAATGGGCCGGGTGTCCTGACAGGCAGTACTGTGTGGGGCCTACTCCTGTCCCCTCCCTGAGGTATCTCTACCCACAAACCAGTCAAGCCCAGTTGTGCCCAGAAGCCTAACCAGAGGGCCTGGGGCTGCCAGCCAAGGTCTCTGGCTCCTTATGAAATAAAAGTTCCTCCTCAGCCACCCCACCCAGTTCGCTGTGTGTGTGTCTGAACCCCCAGCTGGGAGGCGCCCTCTGCTGATGCTCAGTCTGGCCCAGGGCAGCTCCTGGACTCCAGGGACGCAGGCTCGGCAGCCTGGGAACAGCGCAAGCAGCTGCTCAAGGTGTTCCCTGCACACCCACAGAGTGAGCCCGGTGCAGCTCTGCTCAGAGGGAAGGTGACGCCCTGACAGCCTCAGGTGCCAGCTGGGCGGGCAGCTCTGGGTGCTCTGCTGGGTGACTGCAACAAGTGCCAGCTGGGCCCTCATGGTGGTGAGTCTTCTGAACCCAGCTGTTGCTTCCACAGTCACATCTTCTCCTGCATTCTGTCACCTCAGGACCACTGTCATCTTCATGGTCATATGGTGTGTGGTTTTCGGGGTCCTAGGAGTTCGTGTCCCCCAAGCCCCCAGCATCTTGTGCTGAAGATGAGGTTCATGGTTCAGCCTGGACATGAGGGTCATGAAGGGCTCCAGCCAGGGCTGGGGCCTCAGGGGAGCATGGGCGGAAGGTCCTGCCGTTGGTACCTGGGGCTGGAGATAAGCGCTGCCTCATTCACATGCAGCTCAACTCCGCTGTCGCCAGTCATGGGGAAAATGTGGCGTGACGTCAGCAGCCTGCGTGCGGGCCCGCAGCTCCCGCGAGCTTGGTCATCAGCGCAGTGTGCTCAGCAAGCTGCTATCTGAGCCCAGCAGCGGCCGTGCGAGCAGCCACAGGGCAGAGTCTTGCCAGGCAACTCTGTGGCACGGCTGCCCAAGGTCATCGCCAGAGGAGAAAGGTGGGATGGGGGCAGGACTGGGTCCACCTGCTCCCTGGAGCCAGAGCCCTGGGGAGTGTGGCCTGAGCGTGCTGTGTGTCACCCCCAGGTACTGACCTGGGAGGCTAGGGCCCCACCCCCACCCCACCCTCATCTACCTCTCCCAGAGAAGCAGAAGGCTTGAGACTCATGTGTTCTGGTCAGGACCGCTGGGCCCCTATCTAGGACCATGAAGTGTGCCCTGGCAGGCCCCAGACCCTGGGGACCCTTGCAAGGTTAGCAGTGCATCCACTGTGCTCTCCTGCTGAGTACCCCTGACTGGTTTGAGCAGGCCTCTGCCATCCCTGCCTCAGAGATGACAGCACTGAGGTTTGGCTTCCTGGAGCCACACGCCCTTGAGAACTGACACTCTGGGGTTCCCTCTACCCCTCAGATGAACCCCAGTTCTCTCACCCATGGACTTGGGGGCCCCAATGCCAGTGTGGGGGGTGGAGACCCCTCTACCATACTTCATCTTCACCATCAGTGAGATGCAGTAGCACTCGCCTGTGGGGAGGCTCTTGCCACATTCCAGGAGATGGGGCCTCCAGCGCAGAGCGGAACCCCTATGAGCCCGTTCTGCGCCTCCTGAAACCCGCAGGGCAGAGCGGGCGGTGCTCCGGATCTTGGCTCTGTTTGTCTAGGGTGTGCTGGGTCCTGCTGTCTCCACTCAGGAGTTCAAAGCTGCAGCAGTGGTTGTCTCACCTTTGTGGGAGGAAATGTCCCCACAGACATGCGTGGGGCCCCATGCTGGGAGAATGGGGAGTGGGGTCTTTCCTAGTCTGCCACCTCACCTGCCCCATGGGACAGCCGCATGCCCAGGTGCAGATGAGTGTCCAGGGATCACAGGCCCGGACTCAGCTGGCTCTGGCATGTGTATAGTCTGAGGCCGGACCCTGCCAAGAGTAAGATGACAGGAGATCAGAACTCGGCACAAAATCTTTAGCCCATGAAAATGCACTGAGCAGCCTGTGTGTTCATGTGCGTGTGTGTGCATGTACAGGTATCTGAGTGTGCAGGGTACATGCATTGCAGGTAACCATGTGTGCAGTATGTGCGCCTTGGAAGAGGTGGGAGCAGGGCATGTCCTGCTAGATGGCTAAAGTAGGGTTCTGGCTGGGCCTCGGTGGCAGGTGCGCCTCAGGAAACAGCAAAGTGTCACGCACACTAGAAGGTAGGCGCCCTGTAACTCGGACCTGGGCTGAAGCCCTTGACATCTGCCCAGTGTGCAGCAGGGGGGCCCAGTCACCACTGGGTATATCCCCAGGCAGAAGGCACCAAAAGTGGTGTATAGGTTGCAGGGCAAGAACTGGACTCCAGCCAACCTAGGCAGAAAAGGAATGTGCCGGGAGGGTTTGCGTAGGGCTGAGCAGCCAGATTCAGAAAACTGTGGCCGCCATTGTGTCACAGCACTGACTCCCACCGGTGGACATGAGTCTTATTGTAGGGACTTTCGCTTTGCCCAACATATGCCCTGGGGGGTCTCTGACACAGGGCTCCATCAGGACATCCCCCACCACCACCACCATGATCCCTTAACTGCCCAGGACTCCATGTGACCTTCAAGAGCCAGTGCCTGGCAAGATTTCTGATTGGCCGAGCCTGCACCCCCTTCTGTGGGATAGGCTGGGATAGCTAACAGCCAGTAGACAAGGGCCTCTGTCCCAAATGAACATTGAACTTGAGCCTCATCCCGCACTCGTCTCCCACCTCCCTCCCACGACAGTGAGAGGTCCCTTCTCATTGGAAAGCCGTCCCAGGCCTAACCGCCTATCCAGCGCTGACACAGCCCACGGGTCGCAGGAGCCTATCTTCTGAAGATGGAATTTTCCTTCCCTGGACAGAGACAGGCGACACCACCCGTTCTCCTGAAGTATCTGGGAGAGGGAGGGGAAGCCCAGCTAATATCCTCCCCACCAGGGCTGGCTTAGTCTCTTCCCACTGCTGCCAGGGGGAATTAAAATGACTTCTCACAGAGATCAGGGGTCCCACCCAGCTCCTGGTGGGCAAGCCACAGAAAGTTCTGGTTCGAGCAGATCCCACTTCTACCAGCTCATTAGTGAACGCCTGATGGTAAATGGTTCTTAAGCTGCTAATGACTAATTTTAAGGGATTAGTGCCGCAGCGATAAACTATAATTGCCAGGATGTAACAGGATTTGGTGTGTGACAGGGCTCCTTCCAGCTTCCCGTGGCTCCAGGGGGGACAGTGCCACCTACTGGGGTCTCCTCGGACCCCCCACGTCCCACCCTGGCACCCCAGCCTCCCTGTGTCTGCCAGGGCCGGTTTGCCATCATTGTTACTGCTTCTCTTGCTCTGCGTGTATCTAGCTCATGTCCTTCTGGGAATGAGAACGTCACCAGGTTTTATCTAGCTCCCATGCCCAGCAGCAGCCCTGGAACTTAAGAGAAGTGCAATTCTCTGGTCCCTACCAACTCTGTGAATCAGAATCTGCATTAGACTTAACTCCAGACAGTCACAGGCACGTTCAAGCTGGTAAAGCTTTTACCTGAGAGAAATGCCCCAATTTACAGAGCTCCCCACCCCATAATGACCCCACAAGTTGAATCTTGCTAGGGAGAAGAGTGAGGCAGAAAGGACAGGTCATGTGCACCCATGCCCAGCCCTCTGATGCAGATTCAGACTCTGAGGCAAACCTGACCCACTTCCCTGTGGCTAGAGGTCACCAGGATGCCAGGCCCTTGGGAAGCTGAGGGTTCTGTCCTGGTGCATGATATCTCAGACCACATAGGAAGAAGTGTGTGTGCATGACAAATGGTGTGTGCGAGGAGTTTGCACACATGACTGCATGCAGGACTTTGCGTATGTGACGTCATAGCTGTGTGTGAGGTTTGCATTTGTGTGTGCATGGCTTGTTTGTATGTGCACAACTACCACATATGTGTGTGCATGCATGCAACATGAGGACATATCCTTTACCAAACCGGTTTAATGGCTGCTTCAGGACCAGAGAGGTGCAGGGCCCTCTCCAAAGTCACACAGCAAGAAAAAGACAAGGCTAGGAAGCAGGGCCTGTGCAGACATCATGTGGCCCACCCTGCTGCCTGTCTCATTGTTTACGTTTTCTTTATCTTTAACTGCACACTTTTAATGCAGCATCAATGTAAAAAGAAAAATGCTCCATCAATAGAAACATGGAGTAAAAGAAGTTCTGTTTGGCCTTCTCCCAGACTCTCCCATCTGCAGATGGGTTCACCCACCTAACGTGGACACACAAAAAGCCATTGTTTGATTTCACTTGGTTGTGTGTATGGTTTTTAAAATAACTGAGTTGTTCTGCAGCTTGGTTTTTCTCATTGAACAATTGTCTTGGAAATTTTCCATAAAAGCATCTACTGACGTATTTCACTGGGCTTTTTGTTGTTATTTCCAAAATACTCAAGAAGTCTTATAGAAAACAATAACCTACAGAAACACCAGATTCTCATTTTAGAGTAAAATTGACAGCATCTTTCAGAACTTCCATAGTTCTCAACAATTTTGATCATTACTTTAAAAAACAAACAAAAGCCAAACCAAGACCAAACAAACATGGATCAAGTTCCAGATTCAAATGCACAGAGAAGACTTGCGCTGAGCCTCGGCTCATGGTTCTGTGCGGCCCTCAGTGCCCTGACAAGGGTGGGCTTGGCTTCCAGGGGCTCAGTGGTTCTGACTACAGCTCAGTTGCCTTGAATTTGTGCCACCCTGGCCCACCTCCCCGCTTCCCCTGTGGGGACACATTCCCTAATCTCATCTGGCTCATCCTCCATGATGAACCAAATTGTGTCCCCCCAAATTCACATTCCCAGCATCCCAGAATGTGACTAGTTGGAGGAGGGGCCTGTAAGTGGTGATGAGGTGATTCAGGGAACAGCCACGCTGCACCAGTGCGACTGGAGCCCTTTCAAGAAGAGAGGATCGGGACGGCCCTGCGAGCACCAGGCTGGTGACGACGTTCAGCCCAAGAGAGAGGCCTCCAGAGGAGCCGTCCCCGCGGACACCCTGGCCTCTGACTCCCTGCCTCCAGAACCGTGAGAAATCCCGTGTTTAACAAGCCCCTGTCTGCGGTGCCTGCGTGTAGCGGCCTGGTCTGACTCACGGCCTCAAGTGTGGGTGCCGCTCCCCGCCCGTCTTATTCTCCCTTATGGCACCTATCACTACCTGGCATTTCTTTATGCATATTTT